TACCAACACTATAACCTCTAAAATTGCTGAGTTGTAACCTTAATACACTATAACCTCTTAAATTGCTGAGGTAGTAACCTTAATACACTATAACCTCTTAAATTGCTGAGGTAATAACCTTAATACACTATAACCTCTTAAATTGCTGAGGTAATAACCTTAAAATTACTTGAATATATTTTGATTCTTTGTAAGTACATTTAACATAACAGTTCAGTTTCACTGAAAACCAATATTTTGCAGTGCTACATTTGTCTGTTATCTGTTTACTTGCTTCCTCCTCTTTCTACAAGCCACAGTGTATATGATTAGTGCCTGCCTGAGGCGTCAGTTTGAATGGAGAGCACTGTACCCTTTCTTCAGATATGACATGTTTATGAAGTATGTCTTATTAGATGTACATGATTGATTTTTAGGTTATTTAACAGTGCATTTCCTCTTTAGTGTTGAATGAGTTGGAATGATGGCAAAGATTTGGAAGGAAATGATCATGGCCTGTTTTTTGATGTTACTTATCTGGCAGTACTGAGGAAAGCATAGTAACAGCATAGTTGGTGTGACTTTAATGCTGAAATATATTATTTCACTCTTTTATTTTGACTAATAACGTTCTTTTCTTTGCAGCGGAGTTCCCACACACTGATCCATGCACAAATGTGGGCTTGGTGGTGAGTCCAACAATAGATAGTTCATGTGGAGAAGGAACAAGTATTAAGTTGATTGTACATTCCAAGAATGAAGAGAGTCCAGTTATGTTTACCTGTGATGGTAAGGCTGTAATTAAGGAAGAAATCCATGCAGTTAGTTGCATAGTTTAGACCGAACCGCTACAACGTAGCAACAGCACCAACGCAGGGAGCAGCCTGTACATATACTATCATAAGAATAACCTAATATACATCACATACTGAAAAATGAGCATAAGCTCCAGAAGACGTTACTAAGGTCATGACTACACGACTTATCCCATGTGAGAAGATTCTAATACGCGGGCTCTCCACGCTACAGTCACTTATACCTTCATAAATCAGGTCAACACATAGCAGTTGCAGAGTTTTATCATGGAACATTTCCATTCACTTTTTGTACAATTTTAACTTTCCTGTTTTAATCTTTATGTCTCTAATTTTAAATTTTATTATCTAAGCATTTTAATTTTAAATTTTGACCAGAAGACTCAGTTTATGAATTTATGCATTTAAATAATTTCAAGACACAATAAGGATCCTTATTTGAAGAATTAGATGAAAATTAATTGCAATTCAGCAGCCGAAGCTGGAGCATTGTACACCTGATGATGACCTGGTATAAGGGTCGAAACATGTTACGTATGTAAAAACAAAATTAAAAAAAAATTGATACAGTAGTGTCTTCTTTGTTTTTTAAATACAGAATATTGTCAAAGTCAAAGTCACATTGAGACTGATGGTCAGTCAGTCAGTAATCTGGGGCTCATGACCAGATATTTATTATTCTTCGACAGTTACGGTTTTGCGTCTGTGGGGCACCCTCTCTGACGAGGGGATGGGTCTGTCTTTTGTATATGCTGCTGGCCCTTGCCAGCGCAGCCTTTCTTGGGTCTGAGTCCCTTGGGACTCGTGACCGTATTTAACTGTCTCAGATTTGAGACTTCCCTTTTTGTCACATTCTACGACTCGCAGGGTCACGGTGGAGGTATTCGAACCCGCCTCCACAAGGGTTACAGAATACTGTGTAAACGGCATACCTTATATACGTTTGTATACCTTGTTTATAACACAACAAGATGCACACTATTAAGATAATTGAAGCTGAAGGTTTTATATGCTGATTTTGTATTTTTATTGCTGCAGTGAGTTCAACTGTGGAACATGTAATCCTACATGTAGTATGTGAGCTGGAAGGGGATTTCCGTGGAAACGTCAATGAATATGTACTGAAAGTATGGGGTCTTGCCGAGTACTTCACCTCTCACACATTTCTGTCTGATTATGAGTACATTCATCAGTGTATAAAACTGGAACAAGATGTGGAACTTTCTATATTACAAGTTGATCAACTTACAAGGCCATTGGCTAGAACTGTGAGTGTTAATGTTTTTTCCCACTCTCGTGCGGAGGTTTTTATATACATCCCTTCAACTTAGCTTGGTCTGTTTGTTATCACATTTTGAGAAAACCCTTTATATTCTGAAGAATATGGTCTGCCATCTGGTGACATGTTTGCTGATGTTTAGTGGGAACATGCTGCTTCATTCTTTAGGGTTGAAGAGTTAGACAAGTGTGAATAAAGTGGTAAGGCTCTACCTATAATGAGTGCAAACATCTGTATCTTAGAAGATGGCGTTAGTATGTTTCTACAAAATGTTGACACACATTTACCAGACCGAATGTCATCAATCTCAGAAATCGGTATTTATCATAGCCACTGTTACAAGAACCTAAAAATCTTTTTTACATATTTTCCTTGTTATTATTTATTAAATGTTCAATTTTTCAGGCTCAAGATGACAAAAGAGATGGGGCATTATCACTGGAGGATTTGCTTCCTAACGAACCAGTTCATCCCATATCCTATGATTCACTTATTATACTGTTGGGTATGTATAATTTGCAGGATTCATGGTTGTGACATGAGATATGTTTGATGGTATTTTTTTAAGGTGCATAAAACATGTACGTCTTTTTATTTTAATTATTTTTGAGAATATGAGTTGGTATCTATGAACCTTGGCACCATTATTTTTTTTACTAGCATAAAGCCCATTAAAATTTCAACAGGGAATTGTTATAAACAAATCAAATCAAAAGTTGCTGATCTCTTTAAGTTAAGAAGTTTTGGAAAAATGGCTACATTTATACTTATATGCTAAACTTGGCAGAATAATAATTTGCTGCTCCTCTGTAGATGAAATATTTTCAGCAAAGGTGTTTTACCAAAAATATATCATAAACTTCATTAGAAATTCCTAACCCATTTTTATTTCCAGCTAGCAGCAGAGCATTTCAATAGTTATTATCTACTTCAGCCTTTCCGTAATACATCTTGACAGACTATAACATTTGATGGTTGAGTGATTTTGGCAGACACTTCATAAATTTCACTAATACCTGTTATTTTTGCATGATCACCATTCATGACAATTTCCCCATATATATTTAATAATCTTCCCTCATGTTATTATGTAGCTGTACATTATTCAGAATCATGTTAACTGTAACAAAAGGTAAGGCTTTTCATAGACATTGTACTCACACTATACAAGCTTTACCTTTAAATACATCATGCTGACTGTTACCTTCCAGTACTTGACCAGTAATTCTTTGTGTTATCCACCATCGTCAGAACCCTATAGAATCTACAGTGAATTGAGCTAAACATTTTTCATCTCTGGCCTCAGTTTCCTCAGATAACCCTTCCATTAATTCACTCCTTGTGTACACAGTACAAAATTGTGGATGAGTTTTGTTTACATAAAATTCTGTGGAGATATGAAGCTTGGTTTATGTGTGAGGGTGTGTTCAGTGTCTGCAGCAGTCACCTCTGGGCTCTGTAAAATCCTCATGCTATCTATGAATGTGGGTATGAAGTCTTCAACATCAGCATTTTCACTGGAATTGTTGGGGACACTGTTGTGGGCCCCTGTCCACTACCTGAGAGGCTGTATGCTTATTGATATTGTGATTTTCTGGAAACTTTATTGTCAGGGCTGCTTGATGGTGTGTCTCTAGCTGTGAGGCAGAGGTTGTGGTTTCAGCATGACAGAGCTCCAGCACACTGGGGAAGAAGTCTGGTTGTGGTTGATCAAGATGTATCCAGGAACATGAATTGGATGTCTAGGGCATTGCCTCCTTGGTTGCTGAAGGAGTATGTTTCTCTAGTTACTCCCTCTACTGTCAGGTCTGACGGCAAGACTTCAGGCAGCTGTGACAGCAGTCAGTGCCACCATTTTAAGACGTGTTTGAGAAAATGCCTTATGTTTCCTTGTTGTCTGCCTCAAAATGGACGGGGGCTGCTTCAAACAGCTACTGTTGCTATGATTTGGTCATGGTTTGGTCATTTGAGAGCTTATACCAGTTGATGCTGGTGTGTATCTTGGAGAAATGACTGCTGTCTGCCTCCCCTTCCCCCCACCCCAAGTGTCAATCTGTGACTGGCCGCAGGCTGGTTGACACCAGTTCGATAATTTGATTCCTGGCAGATGCCAAGATTTATTGGCCTTAGGTGCCTCTCAGCTTCTGCAGATAAAATGGCTGGCGCATCAAGATGAGTACTCACCCGTCATCAAGTGTGAAAATAGAGCATGTAGTTGTTCCGTTTCTGTCTCATCTGTAGTCATGGCATGATAACTTGATTAATAAGAGGGGCAGTTTTAACTTGAAGACATTATGTGTGAGGATGTGGGCTGGATTCATCTGGCATTGGATGTGGTCTATTGGTTGTTTTCTGTGAAGGTGATGATGGACCTTTAGGTTCTATAAAAGCCTAATGTTTTTTGATCAGCTGAGTAAGTATCAACTTCTGAAGGATTCCCTGACCCTGCTGGAGCTATGGGGCATCGATAGGGTTGATACTGCAAGTGATGTTACAAAAAATTATGTTTAAAATAATTAAATTGACATACTAGATGCATTTTCTGCTGAGAATCTCTTTATATCCTCTTATAATGTTCACAAAACATTGTTCTTGCCTTGTGCAGAGACCTTGGAGCGAGAAATGGAAAAGGTGCAGACGGCAGCCAGCCAGATGTGTGGTCAGCATGTTCCAGGTCTGATGCCCCAACTCCAGGCCAAAGGTGTGGTCCAAGCTGTGAAGGCAATCTGTGCTCTCATGGGCAATGTGGAAACTCAGGACATCACAGAATCTGTGGAAAGTTTTGAGTCCGTTTGTCTGCAGTTTATACCAGCTCCACCAACAGTAATTAACCAATTTCACACTTACATTTTTAATTTGTTTAGCATGGTTGAAATGTCTTTGAAAATCTTGTAACCAGATAAAACTTTTGGTAACCAGACCAAGGAGGACTGCTATGTTCTGGCACTTTTCTCCTACTTTCACCTCACTCATCCATAGAGCTGAGTCCTTGAGAAGCCACCAGTCGTTCAGCTACTCAAGAATTTCCTGATGTTTTATGGAACCTGAATGTACATTAATGTGTTCACAAAAGCTTGCCACTGCTCCCTATCCTGAGCCAGATGAATCCAGTCCATACCACCCCATTCCTCTAAGATCTATCTTAATATATACTTAATATATACATACAAAAAAAACAAACTTTGTGGTCTTAGTCCGCAAGTGAACTATACCTACCGAGCAACTGCCACATGTCGGTGAAGTTAGTGCCAACTTTAGTGGATAGAGGGTGTCATGCGGTCAGCACAACGAATCCCCATGGCCATTAATCTCGGTTTTCTAGACCAGAGCAGCTATCTCAGTTATCCTCTCGATGCTGAGTAGACCCCGTTCCAGACCCACTACTTCCAGGAATCAAACCCAGACTTCTGGATCTGTAGCCAGGAATTCTAATCAATAGACCACAGAGGCAGTCAATATACACTAAAGATATATGAATTGTGTTCAATAGAAAACAGCCTCTAATCTGTGGCCACATAAAACTGAGCATGCTTTATGTACTTAATTGGATCAGTAACTTAAAAATGGTTGTGCATCTTTTGTTGGCTTAAAAAACTGTCTGACTATGCTGTAAGATTAGTTTGATTCCCTGTAAGGGTAGAAATATATTTTGTCCACAATTTCTAGCACATACTAGCCACTTGGCCAGTGGTACTGGGAGCCCTTTTCCTAAAGACAAGGATGATTAGTTCGAAGGTCAAGAATACTTGGGAGTTTTAACGCAGTGTCTAAATATGCCTTCATGTCATAGTGCTCAGACACAGAGGCAAACTTCACTTCTCTGCTAGCTGAAAGAGCATAATGTGTGTTATATATTATTTAAGGTGAAGTTTATTATTGTATATGTGATTCAGGATGGCTTGAGACCTGAGATTGTGAATGAAGATGGGGATTATTCTGTAGTCCGTGTACGTCGGCCACTTGCAGATGTAATTGCCACCAACTGTGATTTGATTCGTGATGCTGTGCATGGTCTCATTGAGACTTACTGCCATGCCTTTAGAGTCGATTTTCAACTCAACTCCAGAGCAGAACTACCAACAAGTGAGTTATTTTATCTGTTGTTTAGAATGGTAGGGATAATGGAGGACATTACTGGAGTAAGCACACTATGTGACTTTCCAAATTCTTATTTATGCCCTCATTTTAAATATCTTAAATAAGAGATCATGAAAAGATTTTAGGTGAACGCAGTTCTTTTTTGTTGTCTGCTGCAACAACATTCATGGCTCATAGTATAAAAGATCATTAACGCCGTCCAGTGTGATTGATAAATGTTGTGTTTTTTAACCTTTCACCCTTTACATGTTTTGGTTGGAGCGACCATCTTCAGAAGGACATATCAGTACATACGGAAACTGCCATTATAATGTCATATATATATATATATATATATATATATAATATTATCCTTTAACAATTACTAAGCTGTTCGTGAATTTGTTGAGACATTTATAAATTGTTATAATTAGTCTGTTTACAAAGTAGTGTTTAAAGAACTTTGTTGAAATGTGGTGTTGCCTGAACAGCTGGACAACTGCACTAAAGAATCATATTCTTCAAATAACGGGACCGTGATGTGGCATACATTCGTCTTCCTTTAAGGAGGAGAAGTATAAAGACATGAACCAAATTGGTTCTTGATTTTAACAAATATATGACATTGTAAGAGTAGTTTCTGTATGTACTTATATGTCTTTCCGAAGATGGTCGCTCCGACCGAAACATGTAAAGGATGAAAGGTTACAAAAATGACAACATTTATCAATCACACTGCACAGTGTTAATGATCTTAATGTGATGGACCAGGATGGATCAATTCAAATTCATGGCTCTGTTTAATAATTCATTGCCAGCATGACGCAGGGCCTTCCTTCAAACATTAATAGTCATTCAATTGGTGAAGTATTTTTTTAATGTTTATGGAATGCAAAAGCCCAATAACATATATCACTGGACTCATCATTTTGATCCTGCTCTGAATGAGTTCATTTTCAGTAATTGAAGATCTATAACTTCATGCGAACTGAGTTTGTATGTGCAGGTACTAAACAGAGCAGCAGTATTCTGGATAGTGTACTGATCCATGTTGGTGGCTTACATCGTCTTCTGTCAGGATGGAACCAGGATGAATTTCAGTTGGTAGCGCAAATCTATCATGGTACTCGGCCTGTTGGACTTCCTGTTCTCTCTCGATCAGCATCTCGCTCCAAGGGATTTTATGATCGTGTGCTGTTTGACTCATGGTAATTTTCTGTTTATTGGGACAAATTAGTTAACAGCATTAATTGTGAATATTGAGTAGAGAAGAATTTGGTAAGAAGCAGTCATTACGTATTTTATGCTGTTTCTGAGTAGCATCTGTTGAGACTGACGAACACCGAGTATCATCTGTTGATACTGACAGACATCGAGTATCATTTGTTGAGACTAACAAACGCTGAGTATCATCTGTTGAGACTGACAGACACTGAGTATCATCTGTTGAGACAAACACCATGCAAAACTGCCGATGTTACAGCTGATAACGTGACTGAGATTTGAAGCAAGTAATTTCTGAATACAAACTACAGCATTATCAGTACAGCACATTACTCATATTCAGTATGTAGTATAAGGGATTTCAAAGTTCATAAATTTTGCAGAATTTTGATATTCGTTCATTGAAAATACAGGTCTGTTGTAGACAGAGCTTTTCTGGCAAGTACGAGATACAGTACACTGCATGTAATTTGTTTGTCATGCTTGCTTCATTAAATGCAGATCATACTGAAAAATTTTCAAGTAAAAATTACTGATCTTAATGAGATGCATATTTATGCCATGACTCTTTTTACTTTCTCATATTCCTGGTTAGAGAGAGTATGAGGGCGAAAAAAAAAACTATCTCAAGTTTGTGATGGGTTTGTACATTTTGAGCACCCCAGAATATGAAGAAATAGTTTCTGAAATACTGGGCTTTTATGTATATATGTCTGCCATGCCAATGCCTGAATCTTGAAAATGCTTCTAATAGTTCCAATTTAATTTCAGTAATTTATGCATCTTAAATTTCATGGAGTCTTATGTTCAAAGTAATACGGTATTTTGACAGAAGCAGAATTTCCGTGGAAAATGCAGTTAAAGCTTCTCCATAATGCATTCAACTTTATTGCATTTTCTATGAAAGTTTTGTGTTGGTTGAAATTTTATGGTGGGTAGAAATAGGTGTTTAAATTTTTTCCCAAAATTACTTGTCCAGAATTAGATGTAAATTGCGAGTAAATATGGTGTGAACTGACTTGTAACATTCTTGCAGGATGAGTATTGAGAGCACAAGTGTGTGTATGTTGCCACGAGAAGCACGTCTTGTATTGGTTTTGTATGGTCGAACAATGCAACCTCCAGAAAACAGTGGGGAGGAACCACGTATAAATGAGGTGGAACTAGGATGGTTTGCCATGCAGTGCTTCAACTTTGAAGGGTAATACTCAGTTGTATGTATGATTTATCATGTGTATGAGATGCCATTGTCTTTATATAGACCTGATTATGATTGGTCAGATGAGGCCGTGTGGATGTGGTACGCTGTGAAGTGTAGTCTAGCCCTGAGTTAGGTAGAGTCATGCCAAGAATAATACATTTTTTCCCCGCTGAAATAATGAAATACACATATCTACCAAATATTCTTTTTACTGTTTTGCATAGCTCACTGGCTTTGGTGTTTTAGTCATTGCAGATATACCGTATTTACGCATGTATAGGCCGCGTGCATGTATAGGCCGCAGCACAATTTTCAGACAGAAATTATAGAAAAAATAATTTTCTTGGAATATTATTTCAGGAGTAGAAATTATTCCGAAATGAATATGATTAAATGAAGTGTGATTTCGAATATAAGCCGCACCCCAGTTTTCCTCTTGAATTTTTGGCAAAAAATGTGCGGCCTATACGTGCATAAATACGGTAATACAAATCTGATATTCTAAAACTAGTCATACTGCACAGACCTAGGAGTAATTCTTTGTTTGTATTTTATTAAATGTTTATCATATTGAACAAATTAAAAACAGAACTTTTATTAAGTCTACTATTCTGTTATATAGATTTCCAGTTACTGTTGTTGCTATATTTATTTTATTTGTATGAAGAACTTACCCCCTTAACACTTTAGGGACTGTAATTGTGATAGGGTGACCAGTATCTGTGTGTCTTGACAGGTCATATGCGAATGATAGCTTTTAAGAAGTCTATGCTTGTGACTTGTATTGGAAGTAATAAGAATATCTTACTGAATCTATTCTTTTGGTTATAAGGTCACAGCTTTTATTTGCAAATACTGAGGGAAATCCTAGTAACGTATATATCATGGCAGTTGAACCAAGTACAGGTTTGTGCAGTAAGCAGAGAGAATTCTGCAACCTATATATCATGGTGGTTGAACCGAATACAGGTTCTTGCAGTGAGCAGAAGGAAGTCTGTGCTACCAACCTGACTGTTGATAACATGAATGAAATTCTGTAAATCTGTGTATTGGAGTAAAGTTACATAGAACACTCAGCACGTCATATTCAAAATACTGACAGAGAAGCAGAATGTCATAGAAGTGAAATTGATGATGTTGACGTTGTAAGATGTCCAGCTAAACAAAACAAGGTTTCCATTGAAAATCTGTTTAATTTCTGAGCTAAAATGCAAATAGCATGACTTTCTTTCCAATAATTTTTGAATTTGGTGTCTCAGACTCATTTGTGAAACCTGGTATATTTATTTGAAGACTTGACTGAATGGGATTGCTTTAAGAGCATGTTTCCTGAGTATGCTACAGATATTTTTATTACAGAGATCAATGGATTTGCACATCAAGTGATTTCCAAATATGGTAAAGGTGATATTTTATCGTCTGGAAAGCAGGACAAATATAACCAGAATTGAAATATTTTGTTGATGACCAGAAATAAGCATAACACTCTGGAAAACTGATTGTTGAAAGATGTACTACTCAACTCCAAAATTTTCTCAGTCTCAGAAGATAAATTCCTTTGAATTATCAGATTTCCCCATTTTTAGAATAATAAAGAACAAATAAAAGGAGACTGCTTCAAAAGGTGCATGATATTGTAACGTGTTTTCGTTACTGAATACGCCGTAGAGATCGTTAACTGGTTTATTGAACAATCTACAACTATCGGCTACACTTAATTATCACAACGTTACGGGTTTCCACAGTTTACAAACCCTACAACAAAATCTCTTAACACAATCTTCACTTGTCTTCACGTACTAATAATGCGGGAGCTATACAAGTCTCCCTGAATTACACACTCCAGATATGACTGGTGATCACTGGTTATCGCACACGCGGCTGTTATGTTTCAACTCGGCGACTGTTACTTTATAACTGACTCGCAGCCACTGTGCAGCTCACTTATATAGCTGCAGTGCTTGCTTGTTGGGTAATGAGTGCCACGTCATCCTGTTACGTCACCGCTGTTGATTCGCCTTGCATAGTTACCCGGTTACGGGACTTGGCTATCCTCGGCTCCGCTCGTGACGTCACCGCGCATAGCTGCCAGGATGCAGGGTGATTACTCGCCTATTACGCGAGCGTTACGTTACCGCTGAGGGGTGGGAGGGGAGCGCTGACTCACCCGCCGCGTCACTGCTGGTGTGGGGGGGCTCGGCTTTGCGCAACATGTCACAATATTTTGGACAAGTTCCTCACCAAATTTCAGGACAATTAAAATATCCAGGAAAAGTTGCAAGTGGCTGCAACCTGTTCACACGGCAAGAATGAACCTATATCGTGTTCTGAATGTAAGAACACAACTGTCTCCTTTATCACAACTTATGTAGCTTACAGTTTAGTAGCTATCTCTGTATCAGGCCATGGAGGCCCATTAGGATTGTGAGATATTGAGGTTCACAGATGGCGGTGAGGTTGTCAGCCTTACATGCCAGGTGCCCTTTACCCTTTACCTGATTTGAGACTGCCCATCAGTCTATATAAAATGGAAATTAATCTAGAGGAGGAGTTTTGCAGTTTACCAGCGTTTTAAGACTTTCAATTCCACCTCCCAGCTCACCATTTTTAACAGTGAATAGGAAACAGCGTCTGTGTATGTCCAAGAAATCACAGAATGTGGCCGAATGGACCATCTAGTGACTGCAGAAGAAATTTCTTACCCAAAATGCTTTGGAAAAGATCAGTTATTAACTTGTCAGAACATACTTGTTAAGGACCAGACTCATTAACAGTACTTTTGGTATGTCTATAAATGATGCTCATTTATAAGAGTGATTTTCTTAACAGTAGGCTCTGCCAAACTGGTTTAAGCCTATTAGAGTGACACCACTTGATGTCAGGGGCTTTGAGTAAAGCTTCATGCTTTAAATGTAACATTAAATGGAATTCTGAGGCCAGTTTCATGTTTTTTTTTTTGTTAGGAAATAATTACTGTAGCTCACTTGTGTTTCCTTGCGTGTATTTCTTATCAGTGTGATGGCACAAGGCAGTTTCCTTCTCCCATTGTGGCCTGCAGTTGCTGACAAGAGACTGGGGCCAGCCCCATCCCCAGGGATACGTCCCCATGGTGATATTGATCCTGTGCTCTGTAAGTGTTCTGTGCTTAGTGTTTTCATACATACTCATACTTTTGACAATTGTAAGCAAGTATTGTAATATTGTATTGTTTGTTTGTTTCTTCTTTACCTTCCTTCTTCTGCTCATTCTTTTGCCCTTGTTTTCTTTATGTTTTTCCTTTTCTTTTCTTTCTTTTTGCCTCTGTTGTACGTTATTAGATCACATTCCCAAAAGATATTTGAGGAAGAACATGAGGAAGGAGGAAGGAGAAGACATAAGATTATTTCAAAACGAGCTGTACAGTGTTATAGTGCAACATGGGTACCAGGAGCAGAAGATAAGAGGAAAATAGAAGCATTGGATGTGACATTTCTGCGGTCACTGTTAGATATCTCACTGAGGAGTAAAGTAGGAAATACTGGTACAAGAGAACAATTAGGAACAGAACAAATGGTGCAAGAGATACTGGGAATCCACAGTTGGACTCAAAGAAGCAAAAGGATATATATCAGGACCCTCTGCCAGAAGAACGAAGGACCTGTTGAAATTAAACAGATCAGTTGAGATGGGTGGTAGGATTACTAACTGGACACTGTCACATAAAAGGACACCTTTTCAAACTCTGACTTACAGATGACCCAACCTGTGAAAAGTGCCTACAAGAAGATGAATCAGCCACACACATCCTGTGTGATTGTTAGGCCATAACTTACTTCAGATTTTGTCACCTGGGTCCTTCATGGAACCAAGTGACTTTTATGATGCCCCCATAAATAAAGTTCCACATTTCACTGGAAGTGTAGAATTAATAAAGGGTTATTTTTTTTTTAAATTCACTTAGTGGGGGGGTGGAGTCCAACTGGGTCCATGGGGGCCACCGATTGGCTTATTGTAGCCTGCCCCCAGTGAATATGATGATTGAGAATTTGGTAGAATGAAGATTGGCAAGGGAAACTGAAGTACTCAGAGAAAACCCACCCCAGCGCCACATTGTCAACCACAAATCCCACTTGACCAGACCTAGGATTGAACCTGGGCTGCCGCAGTGGGAAGCCAGCGACTAACTGTTTGAGCTGTGGTGTNTGTATGCACTGTAAGATGGTCAGAATAAATCATGGACATAAATCAGCGCAACAGGACGCTAAAATATAGCAAAACTGAAGTACTCGGAGAAAACCCACCCCAGTGCCACATTGTCCACCACAAATCCCACTTGACCAGACCCAGGATCGAACCTGGGCTGCCGCGGTGGGAAGCCAGCGACTAACCGCTTGAGCTGTGGTGGGGCCTCCATAATAAAGGGTTAATCCAAAGGGAAGCACAATAGATCATTGAAGGTCACAATGGGAGGGCTGGATTTTATGACCCACCCCTTACACACACACACACACACACATACATACATACAATGGTGGAAGAGATAGAAGGCTCTCAAAGGAAATGACATAATTACATAGAAAGGATTGCCTCTGAACGTTTGCCTGGGTAAGCATTTTTATTACCCAGCTGACAGGTGGGGGCATTGGACACTCAAGAAGATGGGTGCAACAATTTCTTTAGTTTCAGAATGGTTCATGATTTAATCCCTGAATTGTCAGAAGAAAAAGAAGAAGACATTATTAAAGCTTGTGTATTAATATTACTCTGATTGCTTCTTTTATCAGGGGTTGAGTTGCCAGATTTGGGTGGACGTGTGGTTTTTCCATCACAAGTCAACGGAAGTGAGAAGATGAAATCTCAAACATACTCAGGCGCTCCCCATGAATGGTCAAGCCTTGATCCAAATACACAACAGCAACTTTTGAACATCATAGAGCAGGACACTTTCACAATGTGAGTTATAGGTTTGTAGTTTGTAGTTTTGAAAGAATGGCTAGAGCTATTTAAATTAGGATTATAGTGAAAAAATTGGTTTAGTTGAGAAAATTCTCATTCTCATCTAAGGTCTCAAAATTTTCCCAAATTTTTATTTTGATGTGTCCTACACATGCTTAATATTTAACAGCCAGCCAGAATTGTATGGTGCTGTTGTACTGAAACCCATTTTCTGGTACTGCTATGTTTCATTTGTGCTATCATTTTTATTTCCATGTCTGTTGTAAGAATTTATAAATGTTGCTACATATGTCATATGCATTTGATTGTTTCATTCTGGTCCGCCACACTAACAAATTACAAAGACAAAACAACCCCGTCCAGTGTGACTATTGGAGTTTTTACAACTTGAAAACTCAACGCCCTTACATGTTTCGGTCATTATAGACCATCATCAGAGGGAACATCAACACCTTTTTGAAACTACTATCATAATGGGTGTTCTGAGTGTTAAAATACATATACATACAATGTTTGTAATGCACAGTATATACAGAATCCAACTTTTTCACAACTACAGCAGCTTTCTTGGTATATTAAAGTTTTTAAAACTTTGTTATTTAAGTTAAAATTTATAAACCAAGTAGGTTCGTGTCCCTTCTCCTATCGTCTTTCTGATGATGGTCTCTAAGGACTGAAACATGTAAGGGCGTTGAGTTTTCAAGTAGTAAAAACTCCAGTAGTCACACTGGACGGAGTTGTTTTGTCTTTGTCATATGCAGTTTCTATGTTTCTTGTATATGTTTTGTACGGAACTATACTTTTGAGGTTATGTACACAATCTTACCTGTAGTAGCAGAGATTGTATGCACATGAAGATTAAAAGACATTTATATTTAAGATTATAAAAGATTTATATGTTTGGCAACCATCTGGGTTAAGACAGGAATATTTTAATTGAAAGTAAGCATCATTTCTTCAGAAAATTTTATGTCAGATTTGTGTATGTGTAAATCGTATTAAAATTTTGATCTTCTATGACTTTGGTAAGAGGAGTTCACTGAGTAGGTAAAAACCTATATGTTTCTGTTGACATTTCTGTGGGGTCATTTTGTTTTGTAAGAAGAATGCTTTTCTGTAATTTATAATATATAAAAATGCAGATAATTGAAGTTGTGGTTGTGTACTGTGCTAGGCCAGCAGTGGAGGACCGGGAAGTCTTGTGGGAGAAGCGACACTACTTGTTCCACATGCCACAAGCACTGCCAAAGGTTTTGTTGGCTGCTCATAGCTGGGATTGGGCTTGTCTTGGAGATCTTCATGCAATGCTTCATATGTGGAGCCCTATGGAACCTGTCAGTGCCATGCAGTTGCTTTTACCGTGGTAGGTGGACAGCTTCTGCTGCTGCTGCTTTTCCATGTTCTTCCTTTCTTCTCTTCTTGTTTTGCTCCTACTGTTATTGTCCTCTCTCATCCCCTTCCCTTCTTTCTCAGTCTGTGTGTGAATTGCATGTGTCACTTGTATTGTGTAAAAATATGCACTGAAGATTATCCTTCTGTACTATCGGAACCTCATCGATGTTTCTTGCCTCATATCTTTTCTTGCCTATCCCAGTGTCTTTTTTCTTTGTTCTGTTTTCCATCTCCAGAAATGTGAAGCTTTTGGAGGTATAAAAGTACATAACTAGCCCCCTTTTCATCTCACTCTTTGAAAGCTCTAACATTTGAATCTTACCTGGGATACTAGATATCCTGACCAGGCTCCTATTATGATTTCCCTTGCCCTCTCCTGACAGGTGCTGGGTTAGTACCTTGATGAAGACCATGGCTGCTTCTGTCCAAATCCTTTACAGTTCAATATTTATCAGTCATGCCATCATTTGATGCTGTGTGTGTGGTGGTAACGGCATCATAAAATAAACCACAAACAAGAAATTTCAACATCTGTTCTGTCTAATTGCAGTTTCCCGGATCTTGATGTTCGTCATATGGCTGTGAAGTGGTTGCGGTCACTAGGGAGCGATGAATTGGTGGATTATCTGCCACAGTTGGTACAAGCTTTAAAACATGAGACATGGGAGGCTTCACCATTGGCTTATTTTTTACTGGAGCGAGCACTTACGTCACCACGTGTTGCTCACCATCTGTACTGGCTCCTGGCTCAAGCACTTCCGGGGGAGTTCCCACAGGTACAGTTTTAAAACCAGTGTTCATATATATTCTGGAGTATTTTGCATTATGTATTGTGGTGATTGCAGATTCGTTATTGAAGTATGGACTAGATTTGATGTGTTGAAAGTCATACTGTGAGTTTGGGAGATAGCTTGGTCAGTGAGAAGGAATCATTTTTATTGCTAGTGGGGTGGACTAATTCCCTTGTACTATGGCCACTTCTGGCCTATTGTACCAGCCCAGATAATAGGTGAGGGTGATTGTGGAGAAATTGGTGGAATGAAGATTGGCAGGAGAAACCGAAGTACTCGGAGAAAACCTGCCCCAGCACCACTTCATCCACCAAAAATGCCACTTGACCAGACCCAGGATCAAACCCTGGCCGCTGTGGTGGGAAGCCAGCGACTAACCACTTGAGCTATGGTGCTGTCATGAAGGGAGCCATTAGAAATCACTTGATTTTTATATTGTGAAATAACTTACATGTAAACTGGTTGAGATGAGAGTGGGAATAGCACCTAATGAAGTCTACTTGGAGACAGTGACAGAACAACATAAAGTATGGGTTTGACATTCTCATAGTGTGGACTCTAGTAAGTAGTGCCTTGCATTACTTGTTAACTACTATGTTAACATCGGTTAACACTATATCTACACGGTGCCACATCCCAGAAGACTGCTTTCATCATAGTCACCACCGTGAAACCCTCAAATCTTACGTTGATTGTCTTTGTTCTGAGCTCATACGATTCCTTACCATATTTTAGGTTAGGAAAATACTTAAAATTTAAAATTTTGTGAAGCAAGTGGTCCCTTTTTGTTATATTAGCAGAATTCATCAGAGTCTGCTCCAGAGGATGATGTTGGCATAGGAGAATCCCGTTATCACCGTCGGCTACAGCTGATGCTCCGAGCTTTGTTTGCAATATCTGGAGAAGCACTCAGAGGAAGGTTCTTAGCCCAGCAGTTGCTTGTGAAGGTGATGAGTTTTCTTTGAAGACAATATTTACATAAATTCTAAATGTTTCCAGCGATGACAGTAAGGCTGGGGCCACACGAGCGCACAAAGTACATCTGTTGCCACGAACGTACTTTATGACGAACGTTGCTTAGGACACCACACAGTTGCAGAATGTGATGTGTAGTTTTTTGTCTGCAAAGATTCTTGTCACAGTTGATGTTTTTAATTGTAATAAGGTTACAAATTGTTCTTAATATTGTTTAAAATGAATGATGTCCTAGTGTCAGGAAATATCTTTTCAAACTGTGTCCCATGTCCACATTCAAATCCCAGTTGTCTTGAAATGGTGTCTTTTCTAGTCTGATAAAAAACATATAATTAAACTTCGTTCTCTTTTCACTGTAGAATATGTATGAAATAGCAGGCAATGTGAAAGCAAGTAAAGAATCTCTTCGACTGAAGGTTCTGACACGTGACTTGGAACAATTGCATCATTCATTAGAGGAAGCACCCACATGTCTGCCATTGAGTCCAGGCCTTGAAGTACGAGGCGTGCAAGTGCGTACCTGTTCGTACTTCCCTTCGTACACATTGCCACTGAAAATCAACTTCCTCAGCACTGAAACTGGCATCATACCAGCCATTTTTAAGGTGCGTAAATATACTCAGCCTTTCATAATTAAGATAAAGATGTGATTAATTAAACAAGTAAGGAAATACCACTCACTGTATTATAATTAATGTTAGTTCCTCAGAACTCTAGCCGTGGTAGACAGGTCATACCATCTCTGGTGGAGCTGGGGGAGCAGTCTTATCAGCTTACATCAGCATGGGTACTACCAGTTTGGAATTAGTGTCTTGGAGTGTGGTCAGGTGTATAGTACGTTGTGTTGCTTGTTAGTTGGTACCAGTCATAGCGATTGTATTACGTGGTGTTCATGTCACTATCATGCCACACCAGCAATCACATGGAACAATTCATAGTGAGGCCAGTGATGTAATAGCTAATGTTTTCTGCTCGGGGAGTAGCTCTGAATGTACAGCTTTGCGTGCTCCACAACAACGTTTACCTTTCCACGCAGCTAAAGTTATGAGGCACATAACTATATATACATCTTGAGAAGTATTTGTCTGAAATTGATAATCATGAAGCAGAGTTGTCACTGTGTCTGAGTAACACTCCATGATGGTATGTAGGTGAGTTGAGATAAAGTTCCTTTACAATTTCAAATTTGCATTGTATTTTGGAAGGTAACGACACGATAATGTCAGATTTTTTTAATTTCATGGTGTTAGATCATATGGTATAAATGAGAGGTTATAAAAGGTTTTATCCTGTTTGTATAATATATATTGATCACAGTACACCATCAACACAAAATTGTTTGTTTCAAATAGAAAACAGTCAACTCATAACGTGTTTCAGTCTTATAAGACCATCTTCAGGTGGATGTTATACACATGAAATGTTCAGAAAACTGTTGAAACTGGAAGCAGTTAATATGATAATTATGTTTTCACAGTAGATCTGTGTTACAGTATCTTTTTAATGGACTCAACAGAGTAGGTGTCAACCTTCCTTTCTTTCATGTGAAGATGGAGACATCCCATTTCTGAAATATTGCGTTCCTTAAAATAGCCTACCAGTGGACAGTTAAAAACTGAACAGTCCTCAGTGTTAAGCACCATCACCAGGGCCCTTATTTCATTGCATTGCGATATGATTCAACTGTCATTATGATGATGAGGTTCAGGCTGTGAACACAACAGCTTCTGCACTAGAGATGCTAACAGAATTGTTTTTACAGCAGTTAAGAGTTTTGTAATACACTTGCCTTCCAGGTTGGAGAGGACTTACAGCAGGACATGCTCACTATTCAGATGGTTCGTATCATGGATAAGCTTTGGCTTAAGGAAGGGATCGACCTCAAGATGGTGACTTTCTCATGTGTACCTACAGGTCACAAACGAGGTATGTAGTTGAGATTTGCTTGTCAATCAGACATGCACTAGTCTTTAGATGATTCTTGGTTTATTTCAGTTTTTCCATTATAAAGCACTCGGTGGTAGGAAGGAAGAAGACATTAATTATTCTACATATTCTATTTAGTTTGGGGAGTGGGAATTCACTAATCAATTCTCAGAGGTGCAGTACTTAGTGTACACACCAAATCATGAAAGTTTCCACCAGAACACATGTGAGCTCAACAGTGTTGCATTGCTTTAATTACCTTTTATGCTTCCTTACTGCTATCACGGTTCTCTGAGTTACATGAGTTGATATGAAATTTGGCAAGTGTGTTTGGTAGCACATGTAAATTTGAATAGGCTTTTTAACATATGACACAAAACAAGATGAAGTTCAGTCTTTGCATACATGATATGACATAAGTTGGAATTTAAAAAAAATGTAACTGTATGTTTATTCTCTTGCAGAGCAAAGGCAGGTTCAGGTAATTTTACAGTGTTTTATTGCAATGTTCAGTTGTCTGTTTTGGTAGAAATATTGGAAATCATATTGTCACGTGTTGGGGGTATAACGCGACAAATAACTTCACGCCTTAGTGGATATAGCGAATTTTATTCCACATTTGCTCTTACAATCACACAATTTACAGATTCACAATTACTGCTATCTGCAGTATCACAAATACTACACTGCAAATGCCAGAATACAACTGCCTGGTTGCTGGCTAACTCGGAACTCTCCGCTGGCTAGATTGAGAACTGTTGATCACACACTCTGACTCATAGGCTTGCTCGGAACTAACTTGGAACTAACTGTGAATAGTCTTCGCTGCTCCGTATCTAGCCCCGTTCCGGACGACACAGAAAACAGCCATGTAATAGGCACCATTGTTATGTGGTGCCGTGTTGCTAGCAATGCTGTCTGTAGTTGTTTACTGCTGCCTAGCAACCGCGGTATCCCTTGGTGATGTCACTGCTGTTGACTCGCGTTGCATAGCTGCCAGGATGCTGGGACTCGGCTAACTTCGGCTCTGCTCGGCGCGTCACGGCTGGCGGGGAGAGGCATCATATATAGTGCAACACGTCACACTATCATATTATATCTTTGATTGTGCCCAGCCTGCATAAAAGGTTGGGCACACCTGCACTAAAGTATGCTACTATACTCACCCGAATGGAAGGCAGTTCCAACTGTAAGAAATGTGTTTGTACAGGAAACATGTCTTCACAGAAAAGTAATTTTATGCTGTTACTATAAATGTGTGAAAGAAACTATTTGAAAACGTTATACATGACAGTCTTTGAGTTTACCATCTTCAGGTCACTAACCTTTATTCAGTTCCACAAGTGTCACCATATTCACAATTTCTATTGCCTCTCAACTTAAATATCTTAACAATTTCCATCTGCTTTCTCACATGCATTCTTCGCACTGTCTGCTACTTAAACGATTTTCCTGGGGAGTGAAGTGCGACCGGCGGGTAAGGCTGACAACCTTACTGCCATCTTTGAGCCGCGATTGTCAAGGTAACGTGGAACCCTTAACGACTCACAACCCTATGGGCCTTCACGGCTTGTTACAGGGATAGCTTTACATTTTTTTTTTTACTTTTACAAAATATCATTCAGGCTGTCCGTCTGTTGTATCGGATATGCAGCACTTTTTAAATCCATTGAATATCATTTTTGGAGAGGTATGTTGCCACAGTCTTGACCTACTGACACAATGGTTCCCTCCCAAGCTTTTTTATTCTCCCAGTTGGTATCAGAACATGGTCCCCTGCCAAGAGTCCTTCAGAATTTTCTCAATCAGTGAAAGGTTTATCTTCTACAACATCTAGAACCTGTAGTTGTGAGGTCATCCTTGTAGGTATGGCACTTAAATGCATCTGACACAAGCATTCCTCATTTTCTCAACAATAGTCATGGTCTCTTGGTCTAGATAACTTGTAACCAAGTTCTTCATCAGTTCATCATCCACCCCTTTGTTTAACCCTTCAACTTTGCAGGATAATGCTTCATGGGATCTTCAGGTTTGTTTAACATTATTACATCTGTAACCTCATTTATTAAGGTGGCATGCTGTTTCAGCAGTGCGTACTTGAATCGGGATATCTGGTGTGCGTCTATGTTATTTCTTAAACATGTCATAATGTAATGTTTTTTATTTATAGGGATGATAGAGATGGTGACAGATGCAGAAACACTGAGGAAAATCCAAGTAGAACTTGGTCTGACAGGTTCATTCAAGGACAGGTCAATAGCTGAGTGGCTTGCAAAGCATAACCCTTCTGCTCTAGAATATGAAAGGGCTGTAGAGAATTTCACAGGTATGCACTTATACATAACTGAATATAACTTTGTACGACAGGATTGAAGAGAATCAGTACTAAGTCATCTTTCCGTATAATAATTTTATGTTTTCGTTGTGTTTGCAGCTTCTTGCGCAGGATATAGTGTTGCCACATATATTTTAGGGATCTGTGACAGGCACAATGATAACATCATGCTCAAAACATCTGGTCATCTATTTCATATTGATTTTGGAAAATTCTTGGGAGATGCACAGATGTTTGGAAATTTTAAAAGGTAATAGTTGTAAACAAGCTTATTTTTAGATGTACATACTATTTTCAAGAATTAAAAATCAGTAATTATGACTACACCATGACAATATTTGAATGCTTAGGGAAGAGGAAGGTGGTAAGCCTGTGGCTGTTTAGGAGGCATTGCAGTCATGAGATTGGAGAGAGAGTAGAAGTTCATTAAACCTTTGAGCTGCAGTATAAAGGGCTGAAATGGCAGAGAAGAGTAACTCAACTTTTAAAAAGTACAACTGAAAAATATTTAATGAAGAATCTGACAGTTGCATTGGCCATTGTTCTTTTGGAAAAGCTATTGAAAAGTCATTAGCTGCCACTTCAGGATTAACATAACCAGTAAGGGGAGTTGGTGCCACTCAAGAATCAAATAATGTACATCCTGAATGCAAGTTAAATGCTCTGTCACTGAATTATGAATGCTTGGTACCTGTGAGCTAAGGTGAGGTAAAGTTGTCCCTGTGTGTAACTAATTAAATACTATGCCATGAAGGCGTATGGGAGAGTGGATGTATAGATCCACCTTTTCTTGACCTTGGCAGTAGCTGGAGGTGAGTGGTCAGGTTCACGCCCCTGCTGCTCTTTCCCTGTGGAAAGAGCCCCCGGTACCCATTGAATAAGAGGCTGGGTGAGCCTCACAGCTGGTGTGGACGATTTGGAGAAGAAAAAATTGTGACCCTACCAGGACTCAAACTCCCACCCCTTGGTTATCCAGCCTATAGGCAATCGCTATACCAACTGTGATACCCAGTTCACACGTGTGAGCTAAATTCTCCAAGGTAAAGGGATTTTATATATTGTTATTTTAACACTTTGGCAGTTACTTTATGAAGGATGGGTTGTACAAGTAGAATGTTATATAATGTAGCATATTTCTGGAGAGTGAAGTTGATATTGTGTGGCTGTGGACCAAATAACAGGATGAATAATAACAGCTTCAGTCTTCAGTATGAATTCAAAGAATATATGAAGTCAAAACTGATTTGAGCCTATAACTACAGTAATTCTGTCCACAACACAGAACCAATCTTAGAATTGTGCAGTGGAAAATTATCTCATGTTTAGTGTGCTGTAAGGAGAAAGAAGGTGACGTGTGCAAAATAATAATCCAGAACACGAGATATTTCTCAAAAGCAGAGGGAAAATGTGTCATGTTGATTAGAAGATTTGCTACTGGCCAAATTCTATTTTAGATTAAATTACCAACACTTAAAAACAAATTTTTCATGATTTATTGTTCTATACCAAATACAGAGATTAAGTATATGTGTTGCAGAATATTTTGTGATTACAATGTTTTCTACATGCAGTACTCTGTAGGGCCTCCTCTGTGGTCTAGTACTCAAGAGTTCTTGGCTACAGATCCAGAGGTTCCAGGGTCTGTTCCCTGCACTACCAGATTTTCTGAGAAGTAGTGGGTCTGGAACGGGGTCCACTCAGTCTCATGAGGATAATTGAGAAGCTATTTCAAGGAAACAGCGGCTCTGGTTTAGAAAACTGAGATTAACGGCTGTGGGGATCTGTTGTGCTAACCACGCAACATCCTCTATCTGTAAAACTTGGCAGTAACTTTGCTGACAAGCAGTGGTTGCTCGGTTGGTATGCTTCGCTTGCAGGCTAAAAGCCATGGAGTTGGAGAAAATACTGGTAAAACTAGATGAAAGCTCACATTATAATGTCTAAGCATCATTATGGCTCAGACTGGATTTTTTTGTTGCCTGTTTCTGGCCTGCAGGCTATATTTTTTCACCTTTGGTTGAAACTTGTGATGCTATTAATAATCAGTCATCCACCCACCTATCTACATGTTCACTCCAGTGCTGTGAAGGACAGCAAGTGTAAGTAGAAAGTGTAACAGAAACATTTAGTTATTTGTCAGCTGTTATGTTTTACAAGATAAAAGCTTTCAAGTCGAGTACATGTTGGGAGATAATGTCTAAGGTATGATAACTGTAAAGTATACAGTAGTTGATGGTATGTAATGAAGTGTATCTTCAGGGATGGTGTTCTTTACCATTTAATGAATGTTGGTAATTGGTTTCTGTGTACTTAGGGATCGGACACCATTTGTTTTGACGTCAGATATGGCATATGTAATCAACGGTGGTGACAAACCGTCAGCCAAGTTCCATCATTTTGTGGATCTGTGTTGCACGGCGTTTAATGTAGTACGTCGTCATGGCAGCCTGCTCCTTAATCTGTTTGGTCTGGTAAGAACAGATAATTTTTTAATGAAACCAGCTACAAATTAGTTCAGTTTTATGGATGGATTGTTTTTAGAGACTTTATGAATTGAGATCCAGTGAACTGTTGATTGAATGTAGAAATGGGGGGAGGTCAGATTAAAAATGATGAATAATCCAAATACTGCCATCTAATGAAATCTAAAACCATTTCCTTGAACCTGAGTAGTGTTTGGTGCAAACCTCAAAACTGAATGATCAGTATTTTGGGACCTTGTTCAGATGTCCTCCTGCTCGTCCAGAGAGGAAGGAGAGAAAAAGTCTCGGGGCTAGAAGAAGGGAACGGGAAAGAGGAAAATGTACCCAACCCTTTTGGCTAGAGTGCAGAGAACCTGAGTCAAGATGCCAAGTTCACAATTTCATTTTAAATACAAACTAGAAAGAATTGAAAACAGTATTAATATATTGTTCTGTCTGATTGCTTCTAGATGGGATCTTCAGGTATTCCAGGTGTAACACATGATACAGTCCGCTATGTACAGAAGGCATTGTTACCAGAATTATCCAATCCTGAAGCAGCAGCCACTTTTGCAAGAATGATCGAGAGTTCATTACGTTCATGGTTTACTCAGTTCAACTTCTTCCTTCACAATTTGGCTCAGTTGCGATTTACTGGTGACCATAATGATGGCAATGTCCTCAGTTTTGTTCCTCGTACATACACGTAAGTAAACACTATAAGAAATACCATATTTACGCATGTATAGGTCGCACATTTTTTGCCAAAAATTCAAGAGGAAAACTGGGGTGCGGCTTATATTCGAAATATTCAAAATCACACTTCATATAAAAAAAATTATATTCATAATTAGTAATACAGGGTGTAATACTCCTGAAATAATATTCCAAGAAAATTATTTTTTCTATAATTTCTGTCTGAAAATTGTGCTGCGGCCTATACACGCACGCAGCCTATACATGTGTAAATACGGTAAGTTGACATTTTCAGAGTTTCTGATTGCGTCTATGGGTAAGGTAAATTTTTTAAATATTTAATAGGCTGATTGGATTTTATAGTTAATATAGAATGTTGACATCTGTCACATTCATCATGTTCATGCTTTTAATGGCTGTGACTTGCGTTGCTTATCTGATTCAGTTTACAGTGCAGTTCTGTGATTAAGGTTTTCCTTAGTTCTCAGTTTCCCTAGCACAATGTTAAATTTCCTCCATGATAGGAACCAGCTCTTGTGAGCATGAACTCCCAAGTCCTATAAAATACTGCCAAGTTCTTGAACAGCTGCACAACTGGTGGCTTTTCAAGAAGGGTTCAGCTCCATGAAGTTAGATATTGGTACACCTTCACAAGTCTGGGGTACCAGTCACCATGGTTCCTAAAATATTCAGTATTGTGCTTAAAATTTTCTTTATATTATATTATCAATAGTACATAACCCTTCTTTATTTCCTTTCATCTTTTCGTCATTATTATTTGTTCTTCCCTTTTTATTTGTCCATTCTGTTGTCATTCCTCTCCCCCCTTCATTTCTCTTTCACCACATTGAGGCAGTTCCTTGATCCACTCTTTCACACCTCCTATGGTTATATCTCCTCCTCTTTCTTCCTTGTTCCTTTTCTATCCCTTTCATTTGTCCATCCTATCATCATTGATCTCCCCATATCCTATTAACAGTGCTTTAGGTTTTCTCCAAACACAAAGGAAACTGGCCATTAGTTATATGCATATCCCTTTATTAATAAAAGCGAGCAAATTTCTTATTATTATTATTAGAGAGGGTGGGTTTCCCCATGTACTTAGACCAGTTATTGGTCCATTGTGTGTCCCCCTTTAATTTCTACTGTCCCCATAACCTACCGGCACTGGTGCGTGCTATCAGCCCCGTTTAGCCAACGAGGTCGGCTGTTGGTACCTGTTATTCCCCCCATCTACCAGAGGCATTGGAAACTACTTGGGCAGGAAATTGTTGCCTAATTAATTTTGTTCAGAGGTCTCCTAGAGGCATGATCTTTTACATGCCGTAAATCTATGACACGGGACCCACGGCTTAAAGTCCCTCCCAGAGGACTTGTTCCCTGAATTTTTCTGCCCTTAAAAATTCTACGACCTCCGCCAGGTTTGAACCCCTGTACCTTGAGTCGTGAGGTGGGAACGTTACCCCTAGACTACGGAGGCCGCTAAGCAAATTTACTCATATCCATCCTTTCACTATTTTGTCATGTATATATTTCCTTAGTTTCTCCATCTTGTCTTCAGTGTCCCTAATGGCCACTTAACATAATTTTTTATTTGAGTTTTTCACAGCAATGATTGTTCAGGTTGAAGTCTTCTGGGTTGTGATGCTTTAACCCTGAAGATGGAGGCAACATGTTCTTCCAAAATGCCAGTATCTTCCTACAAGACTAGATAGTATTACAACCAAGAAGACCTCAGTGTAGTCATATTTGATTTCATCAGGGGAATCCCATTGTCTTCCATATGCGATACATGTTGATACTAATGCATTTTAATTTAACCAATTTCCTTGTAATGTGTCTTTCTGTATTTTCTGATTTCTAATTATACACACATGGTACTTAACAAAACTTCAATTCCTTTTTCAGAATGCAGCAGGAAGGACGTATACTAAGCGTAGGTGTGTATGGCTACCAGAAGAGATACGACCCAGAGAAGTATTACGTGTATATTGTGAAAGTAGAACGGGCCAATCAACCTGATCCTACGTACTTGTTTCGCTCATACAAAGAGTTCTGTGAATTTCATCAAAAACTTTGTCTCCTCTTTCCATTGGCTAAGTGCTACAGGTAAGCGAGCTAACTCTTGTATTTCTCAGCTTATTACTTGCATATTGTACGTACTATTTTTGTTTTTTTCCCCCTTAACACTTTCCCATGTCTGAAACAGTGGAATGCAGTAAAATTAAATTTCCCCTCCATGTTTAACATACTGAAGCGTAGTGTAAAAAGCACTTAAATTAACTGATTGATCTGATAACGTAAGTAGACAAAAATAACTCTGTGGCCTGTAGTCTGTAAGTGAGCTATACTGTCCGAGTGACCACTACTTGTTGAAATTAGTGCCAACTTTTGCAGATAGAGCGTGTCATGTGGTCAGTGCAACAGATCCCTGTGGCCCAACATAAGTAGACAGTGAGTTAAATGTTAATGGCAAAGGATTAACTAGCATACAGTACAGTAGTTTGGAGTAAGGAGTTGGGACTTGGACACCCTTAACACTATGACAGTTCATGCATGATCTGTTCTGCATACCCATTAAAGAACCTGAACCTAAAATGTTTGTGGTAGTTTGCTTATAGGGATCTCTTGATACTCAGTGAGGTCTGAAATGACTGTATCAGAGTCCCAGAAAGGATTTAACAGTGTCACAAGATAAGCAAAAGGGCCACTAGCTCACTTCCGGGTACAGGTTCTTGTACAGCTGATAGTTACTAATGTGATCATGAAATCAGAACCTAAATATTCATTATTTTGTTCATGAAGGCGCGCCATTGAACCATATCCTGTTGTAGCTCAGTTCAACCCACATCTTCGCAGCCCGTTCCCTAAAGCCTAGCTCAGTATCCTCCTATTTACGTCTATGCTCCCCATGTAGTACACTTTTCCTTGAGATTCCTTCTACTCATCCGCTTCATAACTTGTACTCTTCACCAAGTATAATTAGAATGATCAAGTCAAGGAGGATGAGGTGGGCAGGGCATGTAGCATGAATGGGGGAGAAGAGGAAATCATATAGGATATTGGTGGGAAATCCAGAAGGAAAGAGACCACTGGGAAGACCAAGGCATAGGTTGGTGGACAATATTAAAACGGATCTTAGATAGATAGACTGGGATGGTATAAATTGAATTGATCTGGCTCAGGATAGGGACCAGTGGAGGGCTATTGTGAACACGGTAAAGAACCTTCAGGTTCCATAAAATGCTGGGAAATTCTTGAGTAGCTGCACAGTTGGTGGCTTCTCAAGAAGGGCTCAGCTCC